TACAAGTAGTTACTGAAATCTTTTATAAATAATCATTTTTAGTTGAACAAATTCTCTTCTATTTTTACATCCTGCAGCCAAATTTGTTTATAAAAGTAGGTAAATAAATTTGCATCGCAAATTTATATGTATAATTAAATAAAAAGAAAAGAGAAAAATAGAAAACCGAATATAAGAATTAAAATTTCTGATTCTTTTTAAGTATAATTAATGTAAAATAGACAAATCAAAGAAAATTGGTTTTAGTCTTTGATTTTTATTTTAAAAATTTTTCGAATGATATATAAAAAAACTAAAATTTCTATGTAATTGTAATAATAATATAAAAAAATCTATTTTGTATAACTCAAAATAAAAAAGATGAAAGTAACAATATATTACCAATATATTAATAAAATTAATTTAAATTTATTAACATTGGAAAAATCAAATTTACGTATTGAAAAAAAGTAAGGAAAAGATATACAACTACTATTAACAAAATGTAACAAATGTTAATAACTTTGAAATGGATATTGAGTAGAAAACTAAAGATTAAAACATAACATTCCCAAAAATGTCCTAAAAAAGAAAACAAATTAAACTTTACAGTTGTCTTGTCCTTCTGAACTAAAAAATTATTTTGAAGTAAATTTTTTTGTTAAATAAACTCGTGATGTTTTTAAAAAATTTCAAATAAAAGTTTAAAATATATAAATAAATTAGAACCCGAAATAAAATATATAAAAAATTGAATAAAACGCAACCCAAACCCATTACTGGTACTACGACCAAAGGGAAGGGAGAATTTCGTTCTTAAAAACAAGCAAAATTTCAATTCAATTTGTATTTGAATGAGAAAGAATCACAGTAAAAATAAAAGATGATTTGAAGATCACAGTAAAAATGACATAGGATTGCCGTTTACTTAATTTATATCTTTATAGATAATTTCAATTTTTATAACGATTTATAATTTTTCAAATTTTAAACCTTTTACTCTAAGGTGATAATAAATAAAAATATGACTTTTACTTCAAGAACATGTATGCATTATCACAACTGCTTCCTTTAAAGTTTTAATATCGCGGGCTCCTCAACTCTTTGAGTGACTTTACTTTAGTGACTTTACTCCAACTTTACTTTAATATTTTTTCAGTTTTATTTTGCACTTTTATTATTTTAATTATATTCAACTATTAAATAATTTTTATGCAACATAGCTAAAAATGTGTATTTAAAAACTGGTCTTTTAATTTAAAATGATAATGCATATGTAATTATTTATGAACGTTTATGTGGTTTTCAAATATTTACAATATTTTTCAGCTAAAAACGAAAATTTGCTTTTATTATTTTAATGATAGCATTAGCGTACGCTCCCCATCATTTTTCTGAAATCTGATTTATTAGATTATCAATAATTTTTACTATTGTATGTTTTCCTAAATTATTTTTCCTAAATATTTTGATTGCAAGATTTTTTAGTATTCCATAAATAAATTTCTTATAATTTTGCAGCATTATCGCAATGTTAATAAACGAATATTTTAGAACTTTTACAACATTGCATTTGAATATTTTATGTATATTATTATTTTAATTATATTTATTAAACTATGTGAAAATACTATTAAAATTGTATTATAACATAGGAATAATAACATAAATCAGATTATATGTCTATGAATAAAGTGATTGATGGATTATAAACTAGATGAATATATGGATTTTCATTTTATTTTGATGAATTTTTCTATTTGGATTTTTCTATCGATTTTTCAATTTATTTTAATTACGCTATGAAGAATTAATAATTTCTGCGCATTTTATTAGATACGATTTTTAGCCATTCTCTAGCCATTCTTTCTCTTGGTTGTAAGACATTTTCTCTGCATAATTCTGGTTCAGGCTGTTCATCCACAATCTCATCACCAACAATCGGTATACGGCGATGATATTGCCGTAGGTTATTGCTATACGAACAAGGCCTTTGCACAATGCTCGATTAAATTTTATTTCGGCTTGACTAATATAAGTATGAATTGAACCATGAGCCATTTTCTCAAAGATAATCACTGTCGCCAAGAAGTATAGAATTCAAATACTCCACCTTCAAAATACTCCCAAAGAGGGGACTGTCATTTATATTTGGAAGAGTTCATAGGAAATAAGAATTTTAAATAGAGCTGTATAGAAACCTTGTGTAAAAAAATTGTGTAAACCTTGTGTAAACCCTCCACCTTAAAATCTCATGACAATCCTATTTTTAAAATTAAATTTTATCATATACATAATCGAATTTAACATTAATATTATTAAGTTATAAATAAACTTCAATCACAAAACGTTGTGCATTTACTATTATTTTATGAAATTCAATACAACTATTATAATTATTATTAATATGTGTTAAATAATTGTATATAAATTATAATTAAATTTATTATAATCAATATAATCAATTAATTATGTAAAGTTATTCATTTATTTTTCCTTTTCAATAAATAATATTCAAGTCTATGAATATAAGAATTTTTCTTTTAATTTCTTTACATTTATGTAGCTAGGTAAATGTAATATTTATTTTAATATTTTTCTACATTCATTTGAAATATATCATTATAAATTATTAAATTTTTATAGCAAATTTAATTTTAGTGTTTGTTAGGTTTCTTCTATAATATTATATTATAAAATATTCTTTTAAAAATGTTTAATAATATTTCTTAAAGGATTTATTTAAATTTATATTATTTTGGCATCGAACATTTATCCCAACGACATTCGGCACAGCATCGTATAATCCTTCAATTCAATAAATTAATTTTAATAATATTTTCACTTACAAAAAAATATTTTGATAAATGTATAGAAAATTTTTCAAAATGGCCAAAGGCTAATGTAACTCTCAAATAAATGCGAGTTTATTTATTATTTTAATTTACAAATTCTTACATATAACTATAATAATTTGGGTATATCCTACATATTGAGGTCTTAATGAATGTTAAGACATAAAACATAATCAAATTATAATACTAATTAACTAAATTATGCTAATTTGAGAAAATCTTTCGAACGTTTTACAAAAATTTATATTGATAATTTATTTCTACAAACATTATTTATAAATGAAATTGTGAGTAAATAATTTCTAGACTTAGAAAAAGCAAAATTCTGGTTTGATTAATGAAATGAAACATTAATTTTACAATATTTATCTAATTAATATAATCATATGATAATTTATGATATAATTATTCAGTTTATACTCTTTGACTAATTTAATTATACGATTATCCTTATTTCTGATTTAATCTTATTAAAATTATTGAAATTTAGAAGCTTAATCACATTTAATATTTTAGTTGGAAATTCTACAAATTTCCAAAGATTGAAAGGATGTTTACTGGCAAAGTTTATTCTGTGAGATATTCAATCGGATTTTCATTTGCGTCAATGGAGTAAAAAACCTGATGAATTTGTAAAGAAGGTATAACTAAATTAAGTTTTAATATAAAATTATTTAAAAATATCAATTGTGAATTAAAAATAGTTAAATTATAAGGAATTGTTAAACTATAACGTAATGATAATAAATATGGTAATTAATTAATTTATTTTTATTAATATAGTTCGATTTAAAACTAGCGTATTTCTAAAAAAATATATTTAAAAAATTTTAAATAAAATAAACTATATGAATTTTATCTTTTAACTTAATTACTGCTATTGAAACTGATTTATGGTGTCAAAAGGACATTTACAGGGTGCGTCATAAGTAATTGGACACGTGTTTTCTCTCATAACTTTATTAAAACAAAATCAAATAAAATCGAAATACAATCAAATGATAGAGAATTAAATAAGGAACAATAATAATCAAGAAAATTCGAGATGCCCACACTTGGCTTTGATACGGAGGCGAAGGCGCGAAGAAAAATTTTTGCAAATAGCACGCACCTCCTTGAGTGTAATTAAGTCCCACTCTCGGGTGAGAGAGTGTCGCCGAGACTCCAAACTTTTTTGAGGCTTAGCACAGACCCTGGACTCCAAAATAGACCAAAAAGAATATCCATCGGATTCAAATCCGGGGAGTAAGGCGGCCATTCCTGAACGCTAATGAACCCAGGAAAATTGGCCTTGCACCAGTCCTGATTTTCTTTTGTCTTCTGTGCCGGAGCAGAGTCCTGTTGGAAAATCCAGACTCTGCGACCTAAATGGCTCTTGAACCGAGGCTTCAGAACACGCCGAAAAAATTCTCGCAAGTAATAGTCTTTGTTGACTTTTACACCAAAATCCACGAAAATAAGGGGTTTTTTGACTGACGCGCAAATACCGGCCCAATCCATGACAGATTGGGGATGTTGGGAAGGAGTGATAAGTTTATCGGAAAGAGGAGATTCTGAAGTCCAAATTATATCATTTTGATGTTTGTGAACGGCTTCTATTGTAAAAAATTTTTAGTCTGTAAAGAAAATGTCCGGATATGCGTGCTACTGGAGGAGGAGATGAAATTTTGCGGACAGAATTTTTTTGCCAAAAGGCCAACCTTAGGTATATCTTCGTTTTTTCCTTAAAATTTATGAAAATTGGTAAAAATTGGTAAAAATTTTGGAAAATTTGGTAAAAATTGGTAAAAAAATTGGTAAAAATTTTGGTAAAAATAAACAAAAATTATAATAATTTGGAAAAAGTGCGAAATATTTAAATAACGTGAAAATTGTCAAAAAATAAATTAAAATAACTTTGTTAAATATCACCATATCAAAAAACTAATGCATATCTGGACTTCGCTCGGTATAGTGTGTTTGCAAAAAAACGCTTTATTTCAATAAAACCCGTCTCTATTTATGAGTATTTTTCAATCAGTTTCAGCTACATAAACTTTTTCGTAACCAAGTTGTTAAAAATTTTTTACAAATTTTTTGCGGTACCTTTTACTATATTTTTGACACCCTTATAATCATTCAACATTAAATATATTTTTTTTTAAATTTTTTTTTATTTTTTAAAAACAAAATAATTCCCGGAAATATTTTATACAAAAGATTAAATATTTTTAATTTACAAAAGAATGAAAATAGGAAAGAAAAAATAGATTTTAAATAGAAAGAAATAAATAAAGAGGTTTTTTGGGAATTTTTTTTGTTTTTTTGGGTTTTTAGAATTTTTAATGATTTTTTGGATTTTCTAAACTTTTGTTTTTTTGTGTTTTAATTTTTTGAATTTTTTAATTTGTTTTTGTAGATTTTTATTTTTTAAGGATTTTTTTGAATTTTTTTTTATATTACTCATTCAATTGAGTAAAATTTGTAATAGAAAATTAAAAAAAATAATAAAAAATTTTTGTAACTAGACATTTCGGTTTTTGTAACAATCTTTTATCGGTTCTAAAGCAAAACCCATATCAATTTTTCTCAAATTCTGGTTTATTTGATCAGCATCTGGATGAAAAATTATGTTCAGTTCATGACCACATGTTGGACATGCTTGATGACTTCCAGATGTGCCCATTTTTAAAAAAATACAACTTCGATGAAAGAAGTGATATAAGGTTTCATTCTCACAATTACTCGTTTCAATAAAATCATCATTTTGGAACATATGTTCTAAGTTATAAACTCCGTCACAGATTGGACATTCTGGTTGTCCATTTTCATTAGCTGCATTTATTGTAATTTGCATCATTTCTATCTATAACAAGATTAAATTTAAAAAACGCTTTTTTCTTCAGCAGTTTCCAGCCATATTGGAGTGTCCGCTCCCTCATCAATAGTTAAAGGGCCTTTGTGGCTAGTCATGTCTGTATCGACATATCCTGGGCAACAATTTAAAAATTTTAAATAATTTAATAGAAATTTGAAAATTAATTTTTTTGTGATGGTCTAGCTTATGCGTCCATTGAACTTTTTTAAAAATTATTTAAAGGCATCTTTGTAAAAATGTGATGTTGCAAAATTATGGTTTCACAACCGTGCATCAAGCTAGAAGACAGCTAAAATTCCTCAACTAATTCACTAAATTCACCCCCCCTTTGATTTTGCCAGCATCTTTTTTGTATCTTTAATGTTTTCAAAGAAAATTTTTATAAAAATAATATAAAACAAAAATAAATTTTAAAAATAAAAAAAAATTCCATATTTGTCCTTTGAAAAAATAAAAAATTTTAACTTAACGTTAAAGGGCATCAATATCCGGTATATATTAAAAAGATTTGTCTAATTCTGTAAAGGGTACAATATTTATTGATTTAATTTTCATATTAATTTTGTAAAAATTAATAAATAAAAATGTGATTAGCCACACAATACCATTCATGTGAATTATTGTGAGTGATTTTTGTGAAGAGTTGGAAAATTGTGAACGATTTTGCCGGCCTCTTTTTTTATATATTTTTGACACATAAATGTCAACAATGACAAATTCTTTTAAATCTCCGCCATAAAACGTATTTGTATGTAGCAAGGAAAAAGATAAATTCTGTCACTGAAAAGTTTAATTCCAAATTATTTCTAATTGCTTGATCTCCAGCAAAATATACTTATTCTTGATGCTTCAGCATCATTATTCTTGTGATAAAGATATTTGGTAGTTACTGTCTTTATTAGTTTATTCCTCGAATAAACTAGGGAAAACAATCCGGTCAGGAAAACAATTCGGAATAGATTAAAATTATATAGCCAAACAAAATAGCTGTCACTAAACATGCCAAAGTTCCCTGTCAATCTGTTAAAATTGTTAAATGATTGCCGATTTCTTTGAATAGCGAGTACAATATTCATTGATTTGATTTTCTTAATATTTTTTAAAAAATAATAAAAAAATGTGATTAGCAACACAAACATCAGTTTTGTGAATTCTTGTGAAATTTTGAATGGTGTAAACGCCTTTGCCCGCCTACCTTTTTTAATGTATTTAAGGTTTTCTTATTTTTGAACATTTTATCATTTTGTATTTTTATAGTGCAACAATCTCTAAAATCGTAATGTATTGCCTAATCCTTAAAATAATTTTGTTTGATATTGAGGGAGGGCTGCGCGCAATTTTAAAAGAATTTTCCGCATCCGCAATTTGAATTTTAAAATCCGAAAAACTCCTCAACCCGCATGTCAAAAAAACACGCAATTTACCGCAATCCCCAATCTTGTGATATAATTGTTAATTTGGTATTATAAGGTGACTTGAGTATTAAGAGGTATTTCAAAAGACATCAGTAAGAATTAGTGAGTTGACGTAATCCGCTATCTCTATCATCTAAAATTTCTTTAATCCATCGATATCGAACTTACAATGATATCCTGATATCTCGTCAAACGATATAACTCTTAATTAATGTAAGGCAAACGGGGCAAATGGTCTGGAGCATAAAGTATATTTTTAATATTGCTTGTTTTATGAATGGATCATCAGGGACCGATTAGTTAGGTCCTTTGTTCTAGGTGAGATCTCCACTAAGGGGTAATTGTGGCAATTTGGGCTAATTATATGTAACAGAGTTGGTTATTCAGCTGTAGTTTAGTATACCGGAGTTTTAGTTCCGATATAAGACCCATACCATTCGATTCGTCTCGGCGAGCTGAGTCGAACGGTACCACTCTCCAGGCGCGGAAATGCCTGTGGGCCGGGATTCCCCGAAAATCGAAAAACCAAAGGGGGGAGTAAGCACATTTTTGGGGTGAAAAATTCGAATATGCAAATAATAGCTCTTTTGAAAGAGCTCCTCGAGCTGAGTCGAATGACACCAAAATCAACGAAATCCGACTTGATTGGACAAAGTTATGATCTTTTATTTTAGCTCCTTACCTAGGGCATCTGGAGATTTTCGCTGCTACGGAGGCCCCAAATACGTCCATAGCAAGGGAGATAGTAATAGGTTTATGTTACAAGCCCAGACCCAGCGCCCGTAGACTCCCCGCGAGGCGCGTGCCGCAAAACCCCGCGCGAGCGCGGGGTTTTGCACAAGCGCCTCGCCGACGCTCCATAGGTTTAGGTTTTTTGTTTTTTTTGTGTCATAACTTTGTCTAATCTTGTTCAAAAAATAGGGACCTAATCTTGTTCAATAAATATTTGTTCAATGTTAAAAATTTTCCCTAAGTGATAAGTAGTTTTAGACACGGATAATTGAGAAACAGGTCCCTATTTTAGGTTTCTTACGTCTTAAGATATTGTCAAAAAATCTGAAAAAGGCCAAAATATGTTTCTTTTGATTAATATTTTAATTTTATTTAAAAAAATTAAGTTACTGCCCAAATCACTCTAAATTATTTCTATAATGTTACTCAAATTGTTTTTGCATGTAAAATTATTTTTTTAAAAACGTTTACTGCCCAAATCACTCACTGCCCATTTAATTCACTGCCCGATTCACCACTGCTCAAATCACCATACACGTTATTTAAATAAGAGAAAATATGTTTCAATTACATTTATTATACTGGGTAGGGGACGATTCAGTATCGCCGATTCAGTATCGCCAATTCAGTATCGCCGATTCAGTATTGGCCGATTCAGTATTTGGCTTTTTTGGCCATAACTTTTTGCTCGATCAATATTGTGGGAATTATTATATATGATTTGATAGGCCTCGGGGTGCTGAATCTTTTTCATATTTTAGCTCCTTACGTATGGCATCCGTGGAGTTTTTGCTGCAGTGGAAGTAGCTGGGCATTCCCAACCCATTGATGATAGGAATAGGACCATGTTACGAGCCCATAACCCAGCGACCGTAGACTCCCCGCAAGGCGCGTGCCACAAAACCCCGCGCAAAGCGCGGGGTTTTGAGTAAGCGCCTAACCGACGCCCCATAGGTTTACGTTGACCATTTTGAATCTTTTTATCTTGGCTCAATGTCAAGATCTCGAGCCGATTTTGGTGTTATTCGACTTAGCTCGAGGAGCTCTTTCGAATGAGCTATCATTCGAAAAATCGAATTTTCCACCCCGAAATTTTGCTTACTCCCCCTATGGTTTTTCGGTGACCTATATCTCGGTCCACAGGCGTTTCCGCACCCTGGGAGTGGTACCATTCGACTCAGCTCGCCGAGATGCTGGTCTAAAAATTCATTAGAATCTTACTTCAATTTTTACTTCCTTTTTTACTTGCTTAATTTAACTTATTTTTTTTAAATTTTTTCCTTGAATTAAATAATTTTAATAGATTGAATCCTGCTTTTGCATTTGCTAGATTCATGGAAAATTTTTTTCCTTGCCTCATGTCAATTTTTTCTCCTAGCTACACTTTTATAAAAAATTTATTTAAAATTGACAAAGAAAGTCATTCGCAACAGAGTTGCGTGTCGAAGTGAATTTTATCTCTTTCTCTCTCTCTCTCCCCACCCCCCCCCTCCCGCTTCATTGATAAAAATTAAAATTATGTGGTCATTTCACCAAATTTGTTTTTTCCGAATATACATACTAATTTTGTTTTTAAATGTTCGTTCTACATCTATTTGACGATTTACTTGTCCTAGTAAGAGACCTTCGTTAATATAACTTTATAAATTCCCAGATATTCTGGCAGCTTAACAACAACAACAATAATGTTGGTTCCGCATACCTCGCAATAATATTTATGACTTTTACATTTATAAGCTCTTCAGTCTAGTCCCATACAATAATGTTATTTGACATCGACTTTTTTTAAACCGAAACTTGATCCGACGAATAATTTTAAAATTCCGAAATGAATTTACTCAGCCCATAACATCATGGTCCATAAGACATTAAAACGTCTTTTGCTTAAGGAATTCGCCTGAGAGCCAGTTCCGTTTCGTCTACCGTGTTTTGTGTTTAAATTCATTATAAATTATAAAAAGTTATATCTAGAACATCATTTACCGAATAATTTCAAAATCTAGTCTGTAAATTATCCAACGATTTTCCGTCAAATATATCTTTATCGACATACAGCCAAAATCAGATGAATCAAGTCCTCGCAAGGTATAATTTAAACGCAGCGCCTTTTCATCTCTCTCTTCTCTATTTACATCTTTTCACCCTTTCTGTCTCTCCGATTTTTTAAATAGAGATGGGATGGAGAGATTTAATCCCGTTTAACTCTTTCGTATTTTCTTTCGTATCCCTGTTTCGGTACAAAACAGAAAAATTTAGGGCCAAAAATTAATATTGAGAAATAAGGTTAAAAATCAAAAAATCGGGTAAATACCCTTCAAATAGAGTAAAAAGTTTAGTACTACGGTTGATGGAAGTTATTGGTATATTGGATAAGGGTTTTGGGGAGATATCCTCAAAAATCTTTATAAGAAATATCATTCGCCGAAGCGCACATATTTTTAAGTAACATAGAAAAAATTTTCGAGAAATATGTGGATGGCTAAGATTAAGGAGTTAGAAATGAGTTGATGGTGAATCTTACAAATCCACGACATCTTCCCTAGTCCTTTATCCAATATCCCAATATCCATCAACCGGCAGTACTTAACTTTTTACTATAATATATGTATTTGCAGGGTGTTTTCCATATTTTTGACATTTTCGTCTAAGTTTTTCCATATTAATTTTCGGCCCTAAATTTTTCTGTTTTGTACCCAAACTGGGTACGACAAAAAGTACAAAAGAGTTAAACGGTGTTAAATCTCCCTTTCCATCTTCATGTAAACAAATCCGAGGGATAGAAAGGGTGAAAAGATGTAAATAGAGAAGAGAGAGATGAATGCGTTTAAATTA